ACCATATCTCAAAATATCTCAATTCGTTTTCTACAAGAACTTTACAGAACCTGGTAAAAGCAACAACAAACAGCAAGGTAAGTTTTTTATGTTTTTATTTTACTTTATAATACTATAAAAATTCTGTTATAAAAATGTTCATTATTATCACACACCCGTGCCGATTTTGCGACTCCGTAAATATGGTATTGCACGGCCGTGCATATATTTTGACGTGACGTCATTAGCGTTATACAAACATAGTGTAAAGACGCGCTAAATGTTAGTGTTATACTATAGGCGCGTCAATGAAAAATGACTCTTATTTCACTTCAAACGGTCTTTATTTTGGGTATGTGATAAATAGAATATTAAAAATTCGTGTAAGTTCATTACTGAATTTATTGCACTCGTTGAATAAAATAATATTATGCTCGCCAGAGGCTCGCATAATATGATTTTATTCAACTCGTGCAATAAATTCAGTATTGAACTTACACTCATTCAATATCCTCTATATATGGATAAATTTTGACGTTTTAGGTTATAATGAAATTAAACGGAGTATATTAAGAAAACATTATATAATTGTGTAGCATATACTTTGAATTCATGGCTTACCTCTATTTTCATGGAAAATAAACTTATTATTAATCAAAACTTGCTTTGTTTCCCAAAAGCATTTTCAAGGAAACATCATACGAACATTTATTTAATATTTTCACCAGTGTGTCACAAAGGTTATGTTACTTATGTAATCAAAGTTTTACAGAAAATGTAGCTCATTCCATGATCTGCATCATTAAAATCAAAACAAAATTACGTTGATACTTAGCGCCAACATTTTTGAAAGAGTTCATTGCAAGCATCGATTCAGATATTAACGAAAATATTACTGCCATTGGCCAACAATCATAAAGTTTGCAACTATTTTATCATCTTATTCTTGAAAAATGATTCCATTTTTTTTTTATAATTTGCCTTTGAAAGAAGATATAATTAAAATTTTCTCTTAAATTGGGTTTTAATCATTATTTATGGATTTCATCACAAAGAAATATCAAATCAAGATTTATATATTTTGCATTTCATAGAGGAGATAATTTTACATTTTTCTATCATTTAATCTCGAAAAGTATCCACATTTTATTGAGTTTTATATACTTTGCACTTTAACATTTACTCTTTAATAGTTAACCCTTCTATTTTATCACACACATGTAACCTGTCAAGACCGAAATATTCTGTATCTTAAACATGAGGCAATGAACATATATCTATGAACGTTTAGTAGTCTCTTAATTTGTATTTTGTTACAAATCCAAAATGTTCAGTTGTAACTTATTTGGTCATATAACAAATATCCCTCCGCTAACCCAGATTTGAAAGCATTTTGTTTTTGTATAATGTTGCTATAAACTATGTTTCCTGTCTAAATATTTTGCTAGAAACGTTGTATAATGTTTAAAACAAATAAACTGTATTGTATTGTATTGAATATCCAACGACTTAGGTTTTACGGCGAACGAACGTTATACATACATACAAACAAACATACAAACAAACAAAAAGATTTATACAGAGTGTCAACTGTTTCTATAAAGCAGATGTGTGTTCACAGATATATGGAAACATCTTTAAACAATTTATGAACAATTATTTGTATTGGCAATGTACTCTATGCAGGAAAACTTTAATAACAGGTGATGCCAATATGCTGTTTTTACCCATATCGATTACACAACGATTTCGTTAATGAATTTTACTAACGACTGATTAACGATTACGTAACGATGCTTTCTAAAAACAATCTTACATCAAGCGCCGCACCAACCTGGCGGAAGGTGGCCCCCCTGCTGCACCATCCCTACAGCTCTATATAATAAACTTCTCTCAAATGCCGCCTAATGTTAGCATTCGCCATATCAAAGAGACAGATGTAAGAAATGTAACCTAATGAATGGCAACAAGCCGGCAATGTCGCCGTATAACAAAATACATGTGATTGTACACCCCATCAAGACATAAAAATATTGGGGTAACGGATAAGTGAACACGGATTCATATCAGGGAACTATCTCAAACAGTGCTGAATCAGATTTTTAAAAATTGGAAAGAAATCTGTTTTATTGTGATAGTATAAAAATTAAAGCATGGTGCTTAGCAAAAGTTGTGTAGCATATAAATCTTGCCCCTGGGGTTAAAACTGACACTGCTGCAAACGAAATGACCGAAATCAGCCAAAATATAATTATACTATTTCATTCATAAATACTTATGTAATCAAAGATTTTGTAATCTTTGCCTGTGAATACACAACTGGACTAAAGTGAATGGTCAAGCATGCACTTTAGTTGAAATGTGCTTACAAAGAATGCTCATATAGTTTTTGTCTGTGACAGCTCAATTGTTTATCATAACAAAAGCTACGGATGAATTTCCCTAATTAATCAATGATAAAATAAGACTTCCAATTATGTATTCAGTATTGAACTCACTCAATATATGCGGCATTAAAAAATGCTCAGTAATTCATTCAAGCAAAATATGGCTGCAAATAACGTCCAATAGCTTATTAAAGCAAAATGTGGCCAACAAGAACGCTAAATTTTCCATTTAAGCAAAATGTAGCTACAAAGAACGTTCAATAGTTTAATAAAGCGAAATGTGGAACAAAGAACGCTCAATTCTCTTTTTAAGCAAAATGTGGCTACAAAGAACGTTTATTAGTTTAAAGAAGCGAAATGTGGAACAAAAAACGCTCAATTATCTTTTCAAGCAAAATGTGGCGACAAAGAACGTCCATTACTTTAAAGTAGCGAAATGTGTAACAAAGAACGCTCACTTATCTTTTTAAGCAAAATGAGGTTACAAAGAACGCCCAATAGTTTAAAGAAGCGAAATATGGCTTTAAAGAACGCTTATTTATCCATTTAAGCAAAATGATGCGACAAAGAACGTCCATGACTGTAAAGAAGCGAAATGTGGAACAAAGAACGCTCAATTATCATTTTAAGCAAAAAGAGGTTACAAAGAACGCCCAATAGTTTAAAGAAGCGAAATATGGCTTTAAAGAACGCTTATTTATCCATTTAAGCAAAATGATGCGACAAAGAACGTCCATGACTGTAAAGAAGCGAAATGTGGAACAAAGAACGCTCAATTATCTTTTTAAGCAAAAAGAGGTTACAAAGAACGCCCAATAGTTTAAAGAAGCGAAATATGGCTTTAAAGAACGCTTATTTATCCATTTAAGCAAAATGATGCGACAAAGAACGTCCATGACTGTAAAGAAGCGAAATGTGGAACAAAGAACGCTCAATTATCTTTTTAAGCAAAAAGAGGTTACAAAGAACGCCCAATAGATTAAAGAAGCGAAATATGGCTTAAAAGAACGCTTATTTATCCATTTAAGCAAAATGAGGCGACAAAGAACGCTCAATAGTTTATGAAAGCAAAATGTGGTACAAAGAGCGCTAAGTAATTCATTCAAGCAAAATGTAGCTACAAAGAACACCCAATAGTTTAATAAAGCGAAATGTGGCTTAAAAGAACGTTCAATTATCAATTTAAGCAAAATGATGATACAAAGAACGCCCAATAGTTTATGAAAGCAAAATGTGGTACAAAGAGCGCTAAGTAATTCATTCAAGCAAAATGTAGCTACAAAGAACGCCCAATAGTTTAATAAAGCGAAATGTGGCTTAAAGGAACGTTCAATTATCAATTTAAGCATAATGATGATACAAAGAACGCCCAATAGTTAATTAAAGCAAAATGTGGCTTAAAAGATCGCTCATTTATCCATTTAAGCAAAATGAGTGTACAAAAACGCGAGTACATTCAATGTGTCTCAAAAATTATTGCACGATGTTACTAAAACGCTAAGAATACCTTTGTACAAAATGTGTCCCAAGAGAATGTTCAAAAATCATATTTTGATAAGGTCCTTGACTTCAAACTACTTGCCCCAACACTGGTGGCTCGAATCCTGATAGTATACTTCTTTAGTATTCTTCTTTAGTGTGAGGAAGCTATCGAGCTAAGTCTTCCTCCACCAGTAGCCATATGACGCCTTAGTCAGCGTTGGTGAGACGTATCCCACATTTATGAAGACTTATTTAAGCCACTCTTGAGTATGCTTCCATGATTTTTAAGTAATGATGTTGACACATGATAAAACAAACAAAAAAACAACTTATTTAAATCACTATTTAGACTAAGAAATACTGGCACGTGTTTAAGATGGAACATGGAGGCTGGATGTCATATGAGTATAGAATATAGAATGTATTTCAGTGTGATTGTGTTGGAAGCTTTAAGGTCATAGACACTATCGAATCCGATCCTGGACCCAGCCAGTACTGAGTAATGAGTGTAAATCTTGAGTGCACTTCCTTGGTTTATAAACAGTACTGGTGTCACATGATAAAATGTCCCCAGTATATCTTCACTCATGATCCTTTGTTTGAGATACACACACCTTAACCATTAGGTCACCTCATCCCTTGCAAGTATATGTTTGGTTTTAATGTCGATTTTAACACATTTTATTGAGCGGTGGCCTAGTGGTTAAGGTATCTGTCTCTCAACTCGTGGATCATGGGTTTAAGCCCTAATAGGTGACGACCATGTTTCATCATATGACACCAGTACTGGTTGGCTCCAGGAAGCGGACTCGAAAATGATTAATATAAGTTGCAAGAACTTGTTTCGCAATCAAGCTTAAATTAATATGTTTAAACCAACATATTTTGGTTGTATCTCGGTAGTCCGACAGCCTAACCGGCTTACCTGGATTACTAACCAGTAATTACCAATTTCTTCGCATATGACCATATACTTTTCCAACACGACTTCTGAATCAGTAGTGATTAGACTTTATGTGCAAGATCAACTGTCAAGGAAAAATGATCATTCCAGTAACCCTTTATCAAGTAAAGACAACAATTTCTTATCCACATCTCAATTGGTTTTATACAAGGACTTTTTAACACTAAAAAATAACAACAAACAACAAGTAAAGTTTTTTAATGTTTTTATTTTACTTTATAATACTATAAAAATTCTCATATGTAAATGGAATGACGAGCTGGATGAAGGAGAGTGTATGTATCTAGCACATGCATTTTCTAGACATAAAATATCACATTAACAAAAATCTCATTGCATGTTTATCAACAACAATATATCATAAATAAATGCATTGATAAATAAATGTTTTTCATGAAACATTGAAAAAGAATGCAAATACAGCACAGATGGCCAACTTGTAATTGTAAACAGGTTTTAAAAAAGTTAACAGTAACTATAAGCTACTCTGATTTACAGTAGTAAGTAAAGTACCTGTTTTAATTGTAATTGGCCATCTTAAATTGTAAACAGGTAGTAGTTTTAATATTGGATGGCCAGATTTAAGAGTAAATAAGGAAATTGAAAACTACACATGTAGTAAATGACCATCATTAATTGTAAACAGGTTAACAGTAAGATATAAATATTACCATATAACTATATAATTAAATTGCCTGTTTTGATTGTAAATGACCATCTTTAATTGTAAACAGGTAGTTTTAAAAGTAGATGGCCAGGTCTAATGGTAAAAAATAAGTCTTAATTGTTTACAGGAAATATTTATTGAAAACGGCCAAATTTAATAGTAAATAACCAGGTTTCATTGTAAACAAGTGGGGTTTACTTTACAGTAAACAATAAGATCTAAATATGATGCTAGTAAATTGCTAACTTGAGTTGAAAATGGCCCATTTTAAATTGTAAAGAAAAGGGTTTTAAACTAAATGGGAATTGTAATGGTAAACAATCACCTATAACTGTAAACAAACAGGACATTTCAATTGAAAATGACCACATTAAATAATAAATGGCTAAGTTTAATTGTAAACAGGAACCTTTAATAGTAAAAAATCAAGCTTTGATTAATAAAATAAATGAACTTAAGAATTTTTTTTTAAATTAGATAAAACAAGAACGCTTAATAATATGCCATCTTCTTAAGAAAAAAAATAGTTTAATTTTTAAAATAAACATCAGGCCAGTATTAATTAAAAAGATAATATTTAATTTCTTTTAATCAACCATTTATCAACTAATTATTTGTAATTTGTTTACTTATGTAACGTTTTTACAGTTAGATAATCTAATCTTTGGTAGCTGCTATATTGTGCATCCATTATGTAATGTAAATAAATTTCAATATTTTTCAATTAATTTTTAATAGAGGCCTAAGGGCATCTATTAAAATTTTCTATTGTAAACATTCACTTTTTTTGTTTGAATGTGTTCAAACATTTTATCAGTATCTGTTAGAGCATCATTAAACAAAAAACAAACATGTTACTCTTAACTTAAAAACAGAAACACATCTGTTAGCTTATGTAATAATATACATTGCTTACTTTTCCCCAATTCAATGATATTCACCATCTGTTAGTATAATATTTATATTTTATTTCAGTAACATTTAAAACTTGTTTATTGGGAAAATATATAAGTAAAAGATAGTAAACCTTCAATAAAACCCCCCGAAATCACTCCTGGCCAAAAAATTGCACTGGGCTGACTACGAACACAATAATAAATTAGTATGCAAGAATATTTACAAGAATGAATAAATGAATGAATGTGTACATGGCAGATTTAGTATCACCATAGTGTGAAATTACTGAAACTTCAAACATATATACCAGGCCTTTATATTTCCAATTTTAGGAAAACAATAAACACTGATAAAAATTTGGAAAAAATGTGTACATACATGTAATTATGTTGGTAATTTAAAAATAATGGATACTTCACATATAATGCAAAAAGAAAACAACCTTAATTGCTGTTCCAAAATTTATCACTTTTTCTGTATATCTCAAAAGTTAAAAGAAATTTGTTTTGTGGCTGTATAAAAGGCAACCTATTGGTGAATTTTCTCTTTTATGTTTTAGAAAAAAACAACAACATACTTTTGGTCTAGAAAATGCCTCTTTTATGTTGCAGCTAACTTTCTAGGAAGCAAAAGTTGTCAACAAAACTGTATGTTCAACTATTTTTAATAACAGATTTAAAAAGTTGGAGAAAAAGGCATTAATTTATCAAAATGACAGAGTTATAAACTCTTGAGACTGGTAGTCGGGCTAAAAATGAGCCCTGCTAATACAGTGATGTCCAAAAGTTTCACACAAAGTTGATAATGTATTAAACATATGACAATATATCTGTTAAAAGATATAACTGAATTTTTATACTGTTAACCGTCAAATGATATAAACATTTCAAAATATTGGCAGTTTCATGTCCCTAAAGCAATGCCTGGCAGTGGAATAAAAGCAGAAACTTGATTTTTGACCATTCCTTATAGATTATTATATTGTACATTTATTGTGTTAACATGGTTAATTTTTCAAAAAAATGTGGTTATTGTTAGGTCATGGGTCATTACTTGTGAACTTTCCAGGTTTTACTGGGGGAGAAATATCTCTGGAGCGCCTTCATGCATTATTTCAGAAAACATGCTGGTACCTTCCGTGATCTAGCTGGATAGGTTCCTCACATGAAAGAAACCAAAGTGCCTTGCAAGGTTCGAACCCACAATGGTGATAAGCAAATGGTATGAAATCAGGGAACTTAAAAGTGACATAATGCCCATCCAAGTGTACATGATCAGTAAGCAGTTAAAAAATAAAAAATAACTTGACATTTTGCCATATTAGTGTGTTCAGTTTATTATATATTACTATGAATAAGTAACCAATAATCCAGGTGACCAACAGAATTTTCTTTAAATATCATTCAAAATGTATTGGTAATGCTCAGTTCTTAAAAAGATTTGGACAGTCTTTTTGTAATTAAGGTAGTTTTGATTTAATATTATATTATACACATTCTTCATTATCAGTTATTGATCAATCACCATTTTAATAGCCAATCTTTAAAAGATTTCATAACTTATTCAACTGGACAGCAGAAAATGAGGATATAATGTAACTTAAACAACTCAGCAAGAGAGGCCCCGAACAATACAACCAATGATGTATGAATAATACAAGTATGGAATGCTTCCAACAGGGTTGTGAATACACAATGGTAGATGTAGTAACACTATTTTCTATAGCAATAAATGGCAAGGTCTTTGATAAAACAAAATACGAGGCAAAAAAACAACATTATAATGGTTCAAGAAGTTGAAGTCTTCCTGTAACATCATTAATGGATATTTGATTGCAGGTAAACTTTCTATAGGTTTAAACTTGACTAAAACCATCACAAATTCGACATCACTAAAAGGTATGCTGTTTTTACAGAATGCAATAAACTTAACAATATAATTCTAACTCAGAAATAAAAATTGTCAATATGCCCAAAGCCACACACTGCTATATGAGTAAACAAATTTTCAAAAGATCAAAGCTAATAAATATATAGAGTTTAAAAATAGTTTTTAATGCAAAATTATAGAGATTGAATATTCAATTTTCATATTAGAATTCTACTCCATATCTAATGTATTAAGAGTTGTTCTTGTATATTTTCCTACATAATAGGTAATTACTATGAAATAAGTACCTTAGGCTTGTTTAAATCACTATATTTGTAATTTTGACAACATTTTTACATGTTTCTAAATATTACGCTTGTATCTGGAGATGTCCTTTAAATTCCTTTTGTTTCAGTATGACTAACACCTTTTTCTGATCTCTCCCACAATCTTGTAAGTGTATGGATTCATTTAAGGATAAATGAATAAAATTTGCCCTATTTTAATATGTTAATTAACAGAACTTGGAATAGGTTTTCAAACAAACAAGATTTTAACTCTCCGACCAAAGTGACTTTTCTTTGCTGTTTCTTTGGCTTCGAGCAGATTACTTCTCAATAGTAAAAGTATAATTTCGCTTTATGTTTCGCCTCAGACGGCAGTGGCCTGCCCTTGCTGTATGGCAGCTAACAGATTACTTCTCATGCGTACATATAATCTCCCCTTAGTCCATGGATTCTGAAGGTTTAAAGGTTGATAATCGTCTCTTAGAATTCTCTCCCGTGCACCTATCACAGCTACCAAACAAAATTCCGTGAATTTCTCCTCTTCGTAAACTGGTCCAGATTTTCCCTTGTTAATCACTGCTTGGTTCAAATTTAACACAACCAAGTTAATAACCTCTCTTGCCGTAGTTCGTGGCGTCACATGCAATTTCACACTCGTTCCTTTCGCTAACCCAGTGTCATAAGCTGCGTATACCCGTAAAATCCCTGAATTATCGTTATGACTAGGTGTTTCCGACTTCGTCTCTTTGTGACTCTTTTGTGACTCATCATCGTTTGGATCGTAAAACTTTGCGATTTTAACATGGTCTTTTCCGACACTGATTTCATTTGAATTACATGAACTCGAATAACCTTCATAATTGTTGTTATCACGTATTTTACCTTTGCGTTCAAGGTCATTGGATAAAGAATTATCCGCACTTGCAGAATATAAAGTTTGAACTGGAATGCATCCTACGAAAGTTCGAGATCGCGCATGAGTGATTATGTCCATGATCCAGCGCATGCCTTTCCATGCTTTATCAAGATCATTTTGTAAATTTAACAGTCTTTTTACACGATCTTTTGCTGTATTTAATTCCTCTTTTGAAAATGCCTGCAAGAAAAAGAAAATTTCATTATTATTTTTTTTACCTTTTACAACTTTTTAATTGAAAAATTTGAATTTGCTTTCACAGTTTTGTATTTGTGCTTTTTACATCATGTTTGTGCAGATTTATCTTTTTTCATCAATATTATTACTTATATAAATCTTTACATTTGAAGCATATGAAGTGAAAACTGCCTTAGTTGATAATGCAATTGTCAGTTATATAAGGTAGACTACTCATACTATCCTAATTATTTTAGTAAGAAAGAGTTACCTCTCTTTGCATTTGTTGCGCCAGAATGGTGTCCATCTCGAGAATGGATGAAAGACGAGAGTAACGACTGATGAACTGTGGCTGGTATGTAGACATATGAACTGAAAATAGATAGAAAATAATTGAACTGAAAATAGAATGTATAACAATTGAACTAAAAATATGGCAAATATATAGCTCTGAAGAAAATTTGAACACTGAATTTCTGTAAGTTTAATTCCATAAAAGCTGATAAACATAAACCAAAATAATTTCCTTATTTTCTGAACAGCTTGTCAAAAGTTTTAACTTAAGTAATCAAGCAATAGTATTTCTTTTTAATTTAAGTCTGAGTTTTAGTCTCAAAACAAGTTCTAAACTTTCTTAGATCTCCAATCCATATCATCTCTGGTACAGGTGAACCAAAACAAAAGCAATTAATTTCTCAAATTCACTTGAAATAATACAATATCTTTGTCATGAATTACAACCCACAATGCTGAGTAGCAAGTCACATGTGTATGCGAGAAGATTTTCCATAAAAAAAATAAAATTTTTCCCCATAAATTCAAAATAAAACTAATCACTGGAGGAATTATTTACTTTTTTCTGCAGCTTTAAGATATGATACAAAAGACTGTATCCTTTTCAACTTACTCATTTCAAAAACTTGCACAGGTAGTAAGGTGAAATCATCTCGCTCTACAATTTCGTCATTTTGACCCGGTACAATACATAGATCGTCAGCCGGTGGCAACATGAGGAGAAACGAGACCTGCGGACTTAGCTCAATAACCTCAACATCGTAAAGACGATATGATAATGACATCTCCTCCGATATACCTAAAAATGAAATATAGAGATTTTAATAATACTTTAATAGACGTTATTCGCAAATTTGGGTTTTTCCCAACCTATCCGTAGGAACAAACAAACTTTTACCATTACAGCTTCATGGACCACTACAGCCACAACAGATTAGTCAACCTGTTTCACTTATCTTGGAAGCTGTAACAGTTACTGTAAATGTTTGTACCTACAGATTAGCTGAGAAATACCCAAATATTCTTAATTCCGGAGTTAGTCTATTGCCCTTTGAATGCCAGAAGTTAATCCTATGGTACAGGTATACATTCAGACCATCCTTCTGGACCGACTTTTTACGGTCAATTCATAGTTAGCATTACAATATCAAAATTGTTACGAGAAGGACCGACTTTCAGACTGTCACTTACATAGTATCAGGCTTAAATTTACCAAAACAAGAGCCATGTCAACATGGCCATCCCCCGCCGAATGTGTTTGCTCATTGGAAGAATGTATATATAGAAGAACAGAATAATTCTATTTTTAGAGGTCTTTTGGTAATGAAAACTGATGGCTATAGTGATTACAGATTTGAAACCTATGTGAATACTGATGGCTGAAAATAACAAAGGGCAATAACTGAAAAATAATGCAGGGTAGGTTATCATTCTTGTGTGCTGCATCCCTCCTCAGTAAAATCTATTCACCTATGAAGTTTCAAGTTGATACCTCTAATACTCTTAGAGAAAAAAATTGAATTGAAAAATTAAGTATGAAAAATAACAAAGGGCAATAACTCAAAAATTATAAAAGGTAGAGTTATCATTCTTGTGCAGTGCACACCTCCTGAGTGAGATCTATGCACCTATGAAGTTTCATTTTGATATCTCAAAGGCTTTTTGAGTTATGCTCTGGACAAAAATTAATTTTGAAAAATAACAAAGGGCAATAACTCAAAAATAATGCAGGGTAGAGTTATCATTCTTAAGCACTGCACTCCTCCTCAATGAGATCCATCCACCTTTAAAGTTTCAAGTTGATACCTCAAATACTTTTTGAGATAAGCTCTGGACAAAATAGCATGAAAAAAAACAAAGGGCAATAACTCAAAAATTGTATAGGGAAGAGTTATCATTCTTGCGCACAACATTCCTCCTCAATAAGATCTATCCACCTATGACATTTCATGTTGATATCTTAAACACTTTTTGAGTTATGCTTCACTCAGGTGAAAAATTAGGTATGAAAAATAACAAAGGGCAATAACTCAAAAATTATGAAAGGTAGAGTTATCATTCATGTGCACTGCACACCTCCTGAGTGTGATCTATGCACCTATGAAGTTTCATGTTAATATCTCATAGGCTTTTGGAGTTATGCTCTGGACAAAAATCAATTTTGAAAAATAACAAAGGGCAATAACTCAAAAATCATGCAAGGTAGAGTTATCATTCTTGTGCACTGCACTCCTCCTCAATGAGGTCTATCCACCTATGAAGTTTCAAGTTGATAACTCAAATACTTTTAGAGATATGCTCCGGACAAAAATGTCGGACGGAAGGACGGACGGACGGAAGGACGGAAGGTCGGACGGACGGACGGACGGACGGACGGAGACTATTTCTATATCCTCCGCCGAAAATTTTCGGCGGGGGATAAAAAGTAATAAAGAGCATTATATTTTGAAAGAAGTAGTAGATGAAAAAGTAATCATTTTAACCAAAAAAAAACACTGTTCAGTACCTAACATCTTGAACAGTTTTTCCGATGCTTTTGAAAGACAAGTGTGGAACGTCTGCTGGTTGGTTGACATGGCCGAGCTTTTCTGAACATCCGGTGATAAGGACTTCAACCATTTCCACTCCTCTCTGAAAAATATACATTTCAAGTTCTTATACATGTACAACACATTTTTTAATTCAAGATAATGCCACTGATGTTTTTAAGAATTTATCCTTTAAAAAATTAATGCAAAAATCATTGAAACGGAAGCTGATGTCTTTATCCTCTCTTACATTTAGATTGTTTTAGGTAACAAGCTGTCAAATAATTGCTAGTAAATTGGTTTAGATTTAGTTGAGTTCAGCGTGATCAAGATCATACTTGCTTACGAAGGAAAGGTTTCTTTACCCTTGAAGGGAAATTTAATCTTGTGGTCATCACAAACACGTTTCCTCATTTACATTCAAAAATTGTAAAAATATTGCAGCATATGTGCAATAGAACCTACACAGAAATGTTAGAACAGTCCCGCACTTTTACATTTGGAAGAACATTTGGCGCAGCCTGTGTCACTAAAACACGTATCAGATCCACTGATGCATGAAGTTTTAAATATCCTAAATAAAGTCCAGGGCGTAATGGTACAGAACTCGTCTGGTGATACACTGTCATCTCCTGAAATAATAACAGCTTCATATTTTAAATATGCAAGACATGGAGCCAGGGCGGATCAGGGCAAGAAGAAGAATTACTTTAATATCACTATGCAAAACCGATTTCTTTGCTGTATTAGAAAATAAATCAATATTTTATAGTTGACAAACACAACAACATGCTGCTGATATCTAAAATTCATCTATTTTTGTCAGAATATTGCAAATATTATAAATAAATATAAATATTCAAACAAAAAGGCCCAAATAATTTTTTTTACAAAAACAACAAGGAAATATACTTACATTGACAGAGGACACGATACATTCTTGTTCCTCCGAGAAGTCGCTCAAGTTCTGTGATTGTCTTCGCTGCAGTCGTGACAGTGGAACCCATTTTCCCGAATTAAACGAAACAACTTTTGGATCACGTATAAAGTTCACTGTAGCTAAAACTATACTTCCATTAGGATCTCGGAGGGGTTTGAAATAAAATTTTCCTAAATCGTGAGTACCCAAGGCGGTCTGAAAGATTGGATAAATAATTGAGTTAAATAAATCAGGACAAGGTGATTAGAACAACAGACAGTTCTGAAATTAATCAATTAAGGACTAAATCTATTTTCTATTTTAAGTTCTTCAATTTCTATATGCTTCTAAATTTATTGAAGCATTTCTCGTTATCTTTCCATGTTTAGATACTTAATCTCGAATGCTTCCATCTCACATTAGTATTATTTCTCTTAGATATTAAACTTTTGAATTAATGTTTAATGTTCCCAAGTAATGTTAAAGTGTAATTTCATTACAAATTAAGATAATTATTCACATTTATTACAAGGAGATGGCATGTCCTTAAGTGCAAGTAGGCTAGACAGGCAGCTCTACTTCACTTATGGCCAAGACTTCCTATATTTGCTTTTTAACCTCAAAAGAGCTCAAAGAAAAAGCTCTATATCTGCCTTTTTAACCTCTAAAAAGCTTGTAGAAAAAGCTCTATATCTGCCTTTTAAACCTCTAAAAAGCTTGAAGAAAAGCTCTATATTTGCTTTTTTAACCTGAAAGGAGCTTGATGCAAAAGCTCTATATTTGTTTTTTTCACCTGAAAGGAGCTTGAAGAAGCTCCATATGTGCTTTTTTAACCTGAAAGGAGCTTGATGAAAAAGCTCCATATTTGCTTTTTTAACCATTAAGAAGCTTGAATAAAAAGCGTGATATTTGTTTTTTTTAACCTCAGAAGAGTTTGAAGAAAAAGTTTCATATTTGCTTTTTAACCTTAAAAGAGCTAAAAGAAAAAGCTCTTTCTCTGCCTTAATTAACCTTTAAGAAGCTTGAAGAAAAAGCATGAAATTTGCTTATTGAAGAAAAAGCTTCTCAAAGAAGCTCAATAAAAAAAGCTCATTATTTGCTTTTTTAACCTCAAAGAAGCTGAAAGAAAAAACTCATTATTTGCTTTTTTAACCTCAAAGAAGCTCAAAAGAAAAAGCTGTAACATAATGTACCTGTAATACTGAAACAGCTTGTAAAAGCTTCCCTCTAAAATGAACTTTGCCCTCGGCTGTACTCCTCTCCATATCTTGTCTCAGAGATTTTACATCCTCCCATGTACATGCAACCTTAAAGTATAATTTCAAGTTCATTCATTTAGTTAACAAGTCATAGTTTCTTGCACAAACTGCATAATAACTCTTCAGTATAAACTTCAAAACTCTGGTCTGAAATTTTTATCTGTTTTAATGCATACTTAAAATATTAATTTTCAAAGATATTAAAATTTACAAGAAATGATAAGTATCAGTGACATTATTAAATACTTTGACAGTGACTAGTCTTTTTGATGAATTTTAATACTTTATTAAATGAATGTCCTTCCATAGACAATATCTAAAACATATTTTAAGACAGAAGTGCTCACCTTCATTAACCAGTAGAGATCAAGATACAATGATGGTCCGGCAAATGTCTCGTCCACCTCAACGATAGGAATTTGTTCTTCTGATGTCACTAACACTTTGTCATCATAACGAAAATAACAGGCTAAATATACACCCCTAAAATATAACAAATAACAGGCTAAATATACACCCCTAAAATATAACAAATAACAGGCTAAATATACACCCCTAAAATATAACAAATAACAGGCTAAATATACACCCCTAAAATATAACAAATAACAGGCTAAATATACACCCCTAAAATATAACAAATAACAGGCTAAATATACACCTCTAAAATATAACAAATAACAGGCTAAATATACACCCCTAAAATATAACAAATAACAGGCTAAATATACACCCCTAAAATATAACAAATAACAGGCTAAATATACACCCCTAAAATATAACAAATAACAGGCTAAATATACACCCCTAAAATATAACAAATAACAGGCTAAATATACACCCCTAAAATATAACAAATAACAGGCTAAATATACACCCCTAAAATATAACAAATAACAGGATAAATATACACCCCTAAAATATAACAAACATACTTTAATAATATAACACATTACTGAAAAGCAATAATGTACTTAAAACGCAACGTATTTTTAATGGTGATCATCATGTCTTTTGCATTACTATACAAACATTCTTTATTAATCTATTACTTATTTCTGATCATTCTTGAAAAAAAGACATCAAATCATTAAGACTCGTAGATTTACAAGAAAAAATTAATGTATGCAAAAGTATTATACAATTTTGAACAGAATCACAGATAAAACCCTTTACCAATTAATAACTACTTGAACTATACAAAACCAATTTAAAGTGTCATAAAAAAACATAAATACAATCTCATGTGTAAAATTACTGGAGAAAAGATGTAAATTAATATACCTTTTTAAACCTTTATGAAACTTTGGTGCTGATGAGAATAGATTTTTAAAGCCTTTTTTCTTGCGTACTGGTGATGTTGAACCTGGGGTATCTGAAAATCAAGTAAGAGAATAACTGTTAAAAAAAGATTTGAAATGAAACTTTGAAAACGTGCTTATGGTTTCCTTGAGAAATATTTAAAACAAATCACTCATAAATTTGAAAATTCATGACGATAGACAGTCAACTACAGTCAAACATGTATTAAGCGACCGGGCAAGGGAAACACCAAAAACGGTCGCTTAATGAAACGGTCTCTTAAGACAGTCAGCATGATATAAAAGTCAAAATTTATAAATGACATCTTTTTTATTCGATGGGATTGTTTTTCAACTTCATTTTTATATAAATGTTGAATAATAAGTACGCTCCGATAATCTAAACGGATGCAAATGTAAAAATAACGTTCTGATATTTATTGACAAAATCAGTTTTGATCCATTACGTACATGTTTGACATTTTTTTCCAGAATTTTTTAACTTCTCCGTTGTTTTTCCTTGTCTCCAACACGAAAACCCTATTAGTGAAGATGTTTTCTGTTGTGCATTTTTTCATTTGAAATAAACAAACTACATCTATTTGTTACGATTAATTTAATGGCTGATCAAGTTCAAGGTCAATTCAATGCAGTCTAAATGTCAACAAGCGAAGCGATAACACCATCTCAGTATGGGCGGAGCGTTGCATTGTTTATCCGATATTACTGGATAATACACGTCACGCGTATACTTAACTTCATTTGCATACGCTAAAACGGTATGGGAAATAGAGTTTTTCACACGTTTATTGTTGTGTTTTGATTGCTGACACTTGTGACATAACGAGGTGGCGTTCTCTAAAAACACAATTACTTGACAGGTAAAAGTGGTCGTTTAATGAAAAGATTGATGTCAATTAGGTGACTAATTAGCGGTCGCTGGTCGCGTTGAGCAAAAGTCGCTTAATACATTAAAGATATAGAGAGAAAATGATCGGGGGGAATTTAAAGTGGTCGTTTAAGACAAAAGTCGCTTAATACACGTGGTCGCATGGGCAAGTTAGACTGTATTCAGTCAGTACAGATTTTGAAATTTGAATATTTAACAAATAAAACATGGCCTTGAGGGCAATATGCAAGTTTACGGACTGGTTGGTCAGACTGAGGAAGGCATATGGCCCGAAGCGCATCTAAATCCTTTAATCCCTTTGTTTTTTGTTGTCATTTTTACTATTATTTGCTTTCAAATAATAATTTTACTTGTTCAGTGTGTGAAATATCTCAAACCCTAGTCGGATTTTGTTTTATTATTTTCAAGCAATGCATCAAAATCATGCTCTTCTTTTAAAGGGACTCCACTGAGGTTTTTTGACATGATGGGGCTGAAAATATTTTTCCAGATAAATGTACCATTTGATATAGGGTAAGACAACAAATCTTTAGATCATTCGCGCACTTCGTTTTTCCAGAATAATTATTCAAATATTAAAAAAATGACACAAAATGAAAAGCGTTTAAACGCTTTTCACTCAAATCGGGTTAAGAAAAGCATAAAAATACGATTTTCAATTCATTTCAAAGTATATTTCTTAACTATCTTTGCATATATTTCTTTTTAAAGTGCCTCAGCTCATTCATGTAAGAAATTTAAATATTTTGTTTTTAGGCTTTTAAACCTCAGTGGAGTCCCTTTAACATTTCATTTTTGTTAATAAAATTAAATACTAAATGTTACTAAGCAAAACACCCGGACTTTAAGAATTTCACAAACTGTATAAATAAAATTTATAATTAAATTAAAGACAAATCATGACTTTTGATCAACATGTAATAATTTAATGTGAAACACAACAATAAATTCAGTAAAAATAATCATTTAACAACAAAATAAAATCTCACTGACAAATTCTCTTACACTAATGATAACTAAAATTAAATTAAATTAAATTATACAGCTAATACAAAATGTATATATCGGACACATACAAAAAATCTTCATCCATTTCTTACATATTTATCACAAGTCTAGACTAGTCTAATACACTGAATATTGAAAGTTTAAAGCACAACTTGTTCACTTAATAATTAAAGTATTTATTGTAGGATTTTTGTCTAAATTTTCTGTAGTGTAAATCATCTAGTTATAATTATGAAACTGGATCTGGCATCCATGGAAGGAAAATGATGACTGTCCGTGAGCATGGGCATTGTTTTGTATTTGAAGTGAACTTTCGGCTCGCACATGGTTGATCTCATTCACAGGGCCGGCAGAAAGACGAGTTGGATGTGGCGCTACTGTGTCAGCTCCCACAAGCTCGGATCCAATCACAGCGCCTGCAGAGAGATGTTGCGGATGTGGCTTAGAAAACTGTCCTAGGTCAGTGTTTATCGTACTGGATGTTTGTTGGTTTTCAAAAGAAGTTATATCCTTCAGAATTGACTCAGTCTGCGACAGAGATAGTGACAAAACATCATCCAAGCCATCTTCAAACTCATGTACACTGGCAGATTCTGGTGCTAAACTACTGATTGTAGCAGACATTTCTTTTTTCTGAGTTACGGTTGTGTCACAAACATAACTTTTGACTGAGGCCTCATTTCTATGACCAGAAACTGTCATTATGTGCCTCGCTTCAAATCCTGCATGACTGAGAGCGGTTATAGCCGTTGCCCTGATACAATGGTTGGTGTATTCCTGGGAAAGAGCGGCCCCAACAGATAGTTCCTTCATACGTGTACCTAACTTGTTTTTCCCAAGTGGGCGATTTTCATACCAGATCGAGTCTGAGTCAAAGAAGGACTCTCTTGGTGTCTGGAACAGAGCTTTGCATTTAGGATTCAGTTTTGACAAATATTTCTCAAAGCTTTTTACTGGACACATTCTTCCACCCGTTTCATACATTCTCACATTTTTATCTTGAATTTCACTATGCTTAATGCCTTGGTGGTTTTTGGATACTTCTGAATCCACCTGACAGACATACCGCTTGCCTAAGGCATCTGTTCTGATATTAAACATGGATGGTTTCAGCTCACGTTGGTTTTCACGCCCTCTCCTACAAAAGTACAGACATAATTCAAACCATACTTTGTTTAAAAGCCCATACGGTGTGGTAGTGTCAAGCATCCTGGAACTGTATAAACGCTCTAAATCTGCTTTCTCGATGGACACTTTGTGATCAACAGTTCCTTTACCTGTTTTGCAGGTATCTTTACACATACAAACAAACATGTCGTTGGCTTCTTTAAAGTCCACATCTCGAGTTATGTCGATGTTGTTAGATTGACACAAGTACCTGAAAATAAAAAAAAATATATAAGTATAGCTAGCCTTATTTATAAAATAAACAAGATCTGAAAACACAATCAAAATATTAAGATCTATTATCTTAGGGCCAAGACTGTAAAACTGCCAATTTCTTCAGTAATCTATATATAGCCAGGGCCAAAAAACCCTTCTGTGTAGGGGCCGAATATAGGCTGCTTCCCCAACCAAAATAGCCTCTTTATTTCCCCAGTTTGGTCCTCAAAATTCCCCAGTCTTTTGAAATTTCCCATAGAATTTAGAACAAAACTAAATGTTGGTGTTGAATTAAGGTCTTTTACTGCCTTATTAGTATTTCCCAGTGCTTTTTGCTTTTCTATTTTGAAGAACTTGTTAAAAGTTTGTGTTAAATTTCAGACCCCTTTTCCCAAAGTAAGCCAAAATCACGCATATTTTCCCCAAGAAAAAGGCTGAGGCCCCTTCCCCAAAAATGGTGTTTTGGCCCTGATAGCTAAACAAAATCCTTATGGGCCTATTGACAGCAGTCATGGGTGACAGGGACCCTACTAATATTTTTTTACCAAAAAAAAGTCCTGCATACAACATACTCAAAGCCATGTCATTTAAGTATATTGTCAGACTTTTCTGTCTAATCCTTAATTTTTAACCAAAATTATGGCAACAATGTGAGGGCAAAGTCTGCTTGTTTCGAAATGGTCTGGGGACGAAAAATAAAATATTGCAAAATTTTAAAATAGACATTAAAATATTTAACAGATAAAGAAAATGTAATAACCTGCATATTCCACTTCGTATTGCAATCAGGGATGTCCTCTTATATCGTTCTCCAGACGCATTTCGAACCTCGGCGTAGAACAAACGCAGTCGATTGTTCAGAACCCCGTTCGTGTAAGTTTCAAAGGAAGAATCGTGGCCTTTTTCAGCCAAATATGTCCTGAACAGCTTTACTGAATGTTTTGTTGCTGCTTTTGTGTTTTTCGAATCCTTAGATTCACTGAGTTTAACTAACTCGGTCTCAGATAATGATGCGAATCGGCTAGCCTTGGCCATTTTGACAGTTATCGTCTGTTTGTGTCGTCGTGAAATTTGCACTTCGTGAAAGTTACGTTTAAACGGTCTTCATAAGAATTATGGACCGGCCCCGGTCTGTATGCGGTTTATGGACAGGGTGACGTCATATTAAATATAGAAGGGCGTATGCAAATGAGGTATAATATTACCCAATATTCATTTTTTAATTTTATTTACATAGAACTTTCATAAATCAATGATGGTATTGTTTATATAGAACAGATTTTCACGTTACCTTTTATAGTTGGGGCGTCGGCTGGCCGTAATGTTTTAACTTGCGTAAATAATTCTTCTAAAATTTTCAATTTTCCATGCCATCGTGGCTGCATCTTGTCTACATCCCGCCAACCTAAAGACAAAAAAATATACATAGCATACCTCATATTTCAAAACATTTACTTTCTTTTTCAGTTCACAGTTTATTCAAATTATTACAGAAATTTATCAAATGGAGAGTGATAAATTGAAATATAATTTGTCGTTTCTTGTACATCTTATTCAGATCATTTTGATTTTCATACAAAATCACATATCACATAAACATAATTTTTTCTTAAATCGGCAACTAAATATGCTGGATTCATGTATATTAACTAGAAAGTCATCCACATTATACATCACAAAATACCAAATAATGTTTACAATTAATCATATCTCATTAATCACTGGTTTGTATAAAATGAATATGGACAAAACTACTGTCATTTTTTACAAAGCTTCTTCACACTAAAAATTCAATACATAAAGCCGAATTCAAACCTACAACACTTAAAGGCACATAAGTTGCATTCAGTCTTCAGAAAAAATCTCAAACTTACTCGATGGTATGGCATAAAGTGGATTCGAAGAAGCAGGACCACTAAACCCTTTCATATTCATTGCTGATACTCTAACATAATAAGGTGTTCCTTTCTTTAGATGTTTAATTTCCACCTCCAGGTACCTCACATCGTCAAGAATTATGTCCCCTTCTACACGAGCAAAACTGTCATCCTTACTCCATTCAACTGTAAAAAAATTATTTCAAGATTACAGTCACTTTTAATAACATGAATTATTTTCAATATCTCAGTGTATAATTGAGCCGCGTCACGACAAAACCAACATAGTGCGTTTGCAACCAGCATGGATCCAGACCAGCCTGCGCATCCCATAGTCTGATCAGGCTGGTCTGGAACCATGCTGGTCGCAAACCCATTATGTTGATTTTGTCGTCACGCGGCTCATATCTTTTGTTTCTTACTCTATTCAAGTGTGTATGAATAATCTCTATCATAATAAATAACAACAAATTCTGTTTTTAGATAAATTAGGTCGTTACAAAAGATTTTTAATTATGACCGAGCTTTTTTTTTAAACAAGCCTTTATGAAAAACTCAAGTAGATCCATTAAATCTGATCAGATGACCTACGTTGCTTAAATCTTCAACAAACAATATTTCGTATAGAGTTACTGCAGTACTTTGATATTCTCTATCAAAACTTTAAGCACGTGACTCGTCCAGTTCTTTAATTTAAAAAAAAAATGAAGTTGTTCAAGCAGCATCCCTCCAGAAAAATGTTAATTTGTACTAAAAAAACTTAAAATTTAAGAAAAAATTGTTTCTAAAAGTAAAATTATTGCCAAGAGTACAAAACTTATTTTATCAGAAATTCCTAAGACAACCAAATATATATCTATACAGAAATTTCTATTCCTTCGTTAGTATTGGGGCACAATTACGGTGATAATACATGTAATAGTAAATATTGTCATATTTAATTTTCACATGTATTGTGAATACATTAACATTTTTTAACTTTATGAATATATCATTGTAAAATTTCATTTCTTGAAAATTATTTTACTCATAAGAAGGCGAGCTGCTTTAAAATTGAGCAGCAACCAATCACAAACTAGAATCTGCATAGATATTTTTTTTTAGTCAGGCAAATTGAAAATGTGCAAAATTATGAAGAATCTGCAGAGTTGTGAAGACTGAACTGGCTCTCTACTGGTTGCATACTCAAGTAAATATTGTTAATATTCCCCTTACCTTTATATTTAGTAACAACAGCTCCGTTTCTATTCAACGGCTCCCCAAACTTTACAAGCAGAGATGTACTACTGGATATATTTAGTGTAACATTTGTAGGTGGGTCCGGACACCCTAAAATTACATATACAAAATTACATTATAATGCTTTTTAAAACATAGAATCTAGTCTACTTTGTGCAAAAGTTTTTACAGAAATATATACAAATTACGTAATGTAAATCACTAGAACTTACTATACAGCTGGTAGTGTTATTGTGAAGGTATATGAGGTATTGTTATTCATTTCATTTATCTTCACAATCATATCACCTATTTATAGTTATCTATATATCGTAATTTATGTTTCATTTTTCAAATTTCCTGACATTTTTTCACCATTTTTACGAGTCACATTAGACAAACATGGTATATCTTATATATTAACAATCTTTTTATTTTATTTTACATTAAGTAGCACCAATCAAGGGTGATTTAACAACTTGGTTACATAATTATATTTTTAGGTTTACATAAAGTAGTTAACTTTACTTATGAAAATTATTGATCAATAAGTGAAACTTCATGAATATTGTAGCCAAAATGCTACTATACAAGAAAATAACCACATAAAATGGTTAAAATAAAAAATCAGCTGGAAATGGTTTACCATAACTATACAGTATATATAACTTAAATCCAACACAGGAAATGAATTGATTCATAAATATTAAAATTATTAATTTACTTACGGGCATGGTCATATCCAGCTTTCATTCGTTTTAAAAGACGGTGACGAAACTCCCAGTGGCTAAGTTGACGCTCATTTTCCTGATTAAAAATAATAAATTTAAATAAATAAAATTTAACAAATTTATTTTTTTACGTCTAGAATATGTGCAGTTTTTGTAATTAATTAACTTTCATATTTAAGAAACAGTGTCCCACTACTCTGTTCAAAGCTGTTAACATGACCATAAACGTCACATTAACGATTTAAAATTTCACGCTCGGTTTCCTTAATTATACATCAATTAAGTTTTACGCCAATCTCATTAACATTTGACCTTTGATCCCATATGCAAAGTTGACAAGGCTGTACGTTTGATATTAATGTATTTTAATGAAATCTATAGGTACATGTAGCTAATTTATCTATATTCAGTTTGCTATTATTTTTTCTTAATTCATGCGCATAAATCAATAACCCATTCAAGATTTTTCTTTTGAAGTTTCAATTAACAACACACTAATTGCTGTGTATATGCAGTTTAAAACACCCCCTCTATTTATTTTAACAATATTGTATGTAAATTAGTGATTTAAATCCAAAATAAACACTGTAATTATGCAGCTATGTTATTTATAAAATTTATATCTAGAAGGAGCTACCCTCCAGATCTGTCCAAATTTCCTTTATGAATATTAAAAAATTGTTCGAAGTAAAAAATGCTGTCAAAATATACAAGTAATGTGATTACACCTAGCCTAGGGCTCTTCCAATCTGTAAAATTTATTTACAACTTGTCAATATACGTTGGAACAGGTCTTTCTCAGGTAAAGGGATATATAATATGGTGATGAAAGTAGTATAATTCTGTTAAAAATTGCATAATCGTTGATATATTTAATATAAGTTTGATTCATAAAACAAAAACCCAAAAACATTTTTTTATCTTCATTTCATTTCTTGAAATTACCTTTTGTTGGTTTGAGGACATTGCAGTATTTCCTGACGAACCATTTAAAACAGCTGCAGTCAGGTCAACCACTCGTCTCTCAGCCTCCGATACCAGAACATCCAATCTTGCTGATCGACCTTCACCTTTTTGGACTGAAAATTATATACAATGTACAAATTGAATAATTATTAAAGATATAAACCAATCAAAAAGAAAAAGAACGGACTCAAAAAGACATGTAAAAAAATTAAACACATCAAAACATGACTTGCTGATGAAATTAAGTTTTAATTCTCTAGCACAAATTGTAAATTAATTTTCACTTTGCAGGAAACATTAACAACAACCTTGCTGAAACTGAAATTGTATAGTATACATCCTTTGCAAAGTCAGACTTACATGCACTAAGCAATGAGTGTAAGGTTTCTTGCTCAAGGAAACCATAGCAAGTTAGCTCCTTATCAGGAATGTATTCAAGTTCTCAAGGCATGTGATTTAAAGTCAGCAACTCTAGCTATCAAGATAAGATTAAAATTTTGATAATGTCTAATAAAGATGTTACAATCACAAAGATACATACATAAAGGACTCTCCCTCGCTCCATGGGTCAGTAACATTTTTGCCATAGGAATATTGTTGGTCATCACAGCAACATCAAGTGGTGTTAAAAATTCACTATTCACACTTGAAAAATAAACAACAGCAAAACATTACTAAGAGATGATAACATTTGAACTAGCAAAGGAAGTTTATATTTTTTTAAATATTTGTCAAAAATTGTTATTTTGCTCAGAACTTTACCTAAATCTGAACAAAAATGAAACAAAAACTGGCACTGAATGACAACTATAATATTACTGTGGTGATTTTAAGAACAATATGGCTGCAAATACATGTTTATCTTGACTATGAAACAAAAGATTGAAGTTTCAAATAATCTTTTATCAACAACAACAAAATCAAATAATCAGCGTAATTATCGTCAACATATGTTGTCCTCATCATTATCAAAGTCATCATCATCATCATCATAACATCACTACAATAATCATTGCCACAAGTTTTAATCATCATAGGTTTGTTTCCTGTATCATCATCATTAATATCATTGTCTATCTTTGTTATCATCATTCATTCATCATCATCAGCAGCAGCAGCATCAATCATCGTTTGCATAGCCAGAGGCACAAAATATCTTACCTATTTATATCAATGCCATTGGTTTCAAGAATGTCTTTGACAGCATCTAAATCTTGATGTTCTACAGCGTCAAATAAAGCTGAAAATACAGAAACAAATATGTTATAATAACCATTGTTTTTGTTATACATGACATATAGTAAATGCAGTCCATGTGGAAAAATGTCCCTGATACACCTTGCCAAACAACGACACAACAAAAGACCTTAATTGTCAGGTCAAAGTGGAAAACAAAGACATCACAATTCTACTTTGTCTCCATGTCAAATATGACCAAAAAAAAATCATTATTTTGCATTGCTTTAGTCATAGAAAGAGTCAAGAAAACAAAACACCCACAAAAATAAAAAAAACACACATAAAAGAATAGGTAAATAACTAACATAAGGAAAATATGTTTTTCTTATTAGTATTTGATGATCATCTGGTATTTTGATGAGCGTCCTATGTTCATATTTGATAGTCAGCGTCATACAACATATGAGCCACGTCATGACAAAACCAATATAATGGGTTTGCGACCAGCATGGATCCAGACCAGCCTGCCCATCCGCGCAGTCTGATCAGGATCCATGCTGTTCGCTATCTGAGTTTCTCTACTTGTAATAGAGTCGGTAAGCGAACAGCATGGATCCTGATCAGACTGCGCGGATGCGCAGGCTGGTCTGGATCCATGCTGGTCACAAACCCGTTATGTTGGTTTTGTCATGACATGGCTCATATGGGTAAAGTTTCAAAGATAGAATGCTATAAACATATGACATGTATTACCGAGATAGTGATTATATACATGAATGCATGTGAGTATAAAATACTTAACCGACAGCTGATCAATCTTACTATAATTGAATGTATGACCAATCGATCTTGGCCCATCTGATCTCTGAACCATGATAATTATAGTAAATGATAAACCATGTGACAGATAGCGATTATTTTGTTAATTAAATCACGACCCATTCTTTTTTTAACCGCAACCTGGATTAAAAAAGTATCACCTTCACTGAATTCCCAACCAGTCTATTTTCAACAGAATTTATCTTGTTGACTGAATAACAACCATCCAATTTTTTAACAGAATTTATCTTGTTGACTGAATAACTGACTAATATATTTCATACAGAATTTATCCTGTAACCTGAATAACTGACCATTTAATTTCCTACAGAATTTATTTTGTTGACTGAATAACTGACCATTTAATTTTCCTACCAAATTTATCTTGTTGACTAAATAACTGACCATTTAATTTTCCTACAAAATTTATCTTGTTGGCTGAATTACCAACCATTTAATTTCCTACAAAATTTATCTTGTTGACTGAACAACTGACCATTTAATTTCCTACCAAATTTATCTTGTTGACTAAATAACTGACCATTTAATTTCCTACAAAATTTATCTTGTTGACTGAAAAACCGACCATTTAATTTCCTACGAAATTTATCTTGTTGACTGAACAACTGACCATTTAATTTCCTACGAAATTTATTTTTTTGACTGAATACCTGATCATTTAATTTCCTACCAAATTTATCTATTACCACTTCATAATATGACATAATGACAAACAAAAATATATATATTATACGACATGATTTGTAACATTAATTTTCTTTCGATAATCTTGACATATATGATATAATATATACCTGGCTGCTTAAAATTTATGAATAAGACTTTTATTCTACCTCAAATAAAGGACTTAAATGTGCAGTATTATAAATTCTTTATAAAAACTTATGACAGGTTATATGACCATATATAAATCCATGTTTGCTAGTATATCTATCCACTATTTGACATCAGGCTTACAAGCTTGAAACTGTTTATACTGGGCCATAAATATTTAAACTACTAAATAATCTAACCAACTCTTTTTTTTTAACATAAAAAAGAGTCAGAAATACTTAAAATCAAACTGACATTAACCTTATTGAACCATTAATTTAAAATTGATCAAATAAAGGAATTCAAAATTTTAAAAAAGTTAATTCTAAAAGAAAATTTACAAACTTACATGAACATCTCCACCATCTTAATAGTGCTGACATAATTTTATTCCGTTGGTCATTATCCAAATTAATTTTAAGAATTAACACATGATTTTATGTAAATTTTGTGGTTTCTAATTTTTTTTTTATCTCCCTACAATTAACGGTCAAATTTTTGAATTTCAATGTCATACTCCTTAACACAGGTACTGTGTAGTACTTTCTACTAGATGCAAAATTTTTCACTTATCTTGTAAAACACAATAAATTTGTCTATTTTTCCAATCTTATCAAAATATCGTAATCTTATAAATTTATCTTAAACAGTTTACTGCACAAACAAATCTTAGCTCCAGGTAGTTTGTTCTTTTTTTTATCTTAAATATCTTAAAACTTGGTTACTTGTTACAAAAACATGTCACAACCAGCGAAACAAGGGCCTATGTCCTCCATGACTCATTTATCTTTTTTATCGTAATACCCATAGATCCCCTTAACTCCCTACAGACACAAATACCATTAGGCTGATATTGATCTTTAAAAAAAATCCTCAAAAATGTAAAATGTTTAAACTAAATTACCCCACCCATATGTCTATAAATAGAAAATTTTGAAAAAGCCGCATGTTTGAATTCGATTGGGTATTGATTTTTGTACTAACTGACAGATTTAAGTGACTGTGTAAAATAAATTTGCAAACGGTAAATTGTAACAATACAGTACACTCGTAATAAACGACTCCGGCCCTAAGGGCTGAACGTGTAGTTACTTTAAAGATAATAATACAGTAATAGATTTTTATCAACATTTTTTGTCAGTATGATTAAACAGGGCCCTCGATCCTTACTTTAAATACAATGCTCAAAGTCAATTACGTTGGTAATTTAATGATAAATGAACTGTAAAAGTCATTCGATGTACACACTAAGTACCGTCATTTTTTTAATAAAACTGTTATCATCATGATTAAATTGTAAGATGTTTCGATAAACTTCAAAATTAAATAAACTGAATAAGATGTTAAACTTCTAACAAATTTATGAAAATTATGATATAAAACAACAAATTTTTTCAACATATTTAAAGATCTGTCTTTGTAATATTCACACTATAAAATGGAACAATTGTTTGTTAAATCTTAGATTTTAAAGCCAAATTCAACAAATTTTTAGTCCTAATCTTGGTGGTCAGTCTACCTAACCAGCTTTCCTTGATAACAAACCAGTAATTACCAATTTCTCTGCAAGTTACCAACTACTTATTCCTCACCATTTTCGAAATCAGCCATTAGATACAAATGACCGTTGGAACCTACTACAAAGATCTTAACAAACACTTCTCTTTTTGAAAATAAAGCTCAAATGATTTCAATATATAAGTCAAAAGACGTATCGCTCAAAAATAGTTTTAAACCTAAATACATCGGAACTTTTGGATACATTATTTCCTTGTACAAATTTTGGAAACGTTATTTCTTCGTATATAAATACATACCCAAAATGTCATACGTCCTGGCTTCTTTGGACATACGTTTACGGTCAACTTTCCCTGGAGACGAGCTGTCCGTATCTGTACTGCTTATAGACGTCCTTTTCTTTGGCGTAGCTACAAATTTAGAGAAAAAACTCTGTAAGCTGTTATGTCTTACTACCATTTTTAACTCCAATATACAACCTAGATCAAATGAGTCCATATTGTAACATTTTATTCCGTTTGCTACTTTTTAATCCATTTGTAACATATATATATATATTTTGTTTTCAAGATGATGTCAATAAGCCGTCATTTTGTAATACTAATAGTCCTAAGCCTTGAATGAAGAGGGAAGTTCAAAAAACTCCAAAATTTTTCCAATTGTAAATGTCAACTTTCTTAAATAATTTTTGAATAATATTAAAATGTATAAAGGAATATTGTGTTTTCTTAGCAATCAAATATAGCCTATAATTATAAATTTTCATTCCTTAGGTAAAATTCATATTAACTGGAATAAATTAATCCCAGACAGGATTTCTTTATTCATTTCTCTTTTTTTTTAAATTCATGAACATTTTAATCAATGCTAGCTTAACAACTCTAACTATATAAAATTTGAACTTTCACAAGAGAGGTTTGGTTACTTTTTTACCGTCCCCTCTAATACTACTGCAAACTTGTGCAGGAGGGCCAGAGATCATTGACAAAACAGCCTCTATCAATTTTATTCAAATGTCAAATCAGAAGAATTATGCATTTTAATGACATTATATCCATACAATTAAAATGTCAGATAGTATCTGTGAATCGGCAGACGCCTTCTTCTCTATCCTCTATCCTGCTTTTTTTCTGGACATGTCTCCATAAAAAGCCAGTTTATTTTAAGACATTATAGTTTAATTTTACTCTCATCATCATGATGTATTTGAAAATTCCTTTTCAATTAAAAATAATAAAAGTACGGTGCAACCTGTGTAGGGTGGCCATCTGCAGAGAAATAATCTCTTTTAATAAAAAGTATCACTGTTTCCCTATGCAATGCTCCATAACAACGTTGAACTACCAAGAGCAACATCTCTAGCAACTTCTCTCAACAAAGATTCTTGGTCTCCCAGAGGACAATGTTTCACCTAAGTGCAATAACTGGTGAACTCCTATTTAATTTGGAAGGACTTGTTACTGCACTAAGGTGACAAATGTCGCTTTCCAGAGATTGCACTGTAAAACGAATTTTAAATCTGGCATACTCATAACAATGACCTTTACCTTTTAATTAGTGACAATGAGTGACCTCTGACCTTCACCTTTCAATGAGTGACATTTAAATGACCTCTGACAATAGTTGTAATGAAATTATTCACTACAACTTATTAATATCTGTTTTAATAATGATAATTTAAGAATATGACAACCATGACCTAGTGAAACATGTGTGACCTTGACCTTACAAAAACGCCTGTTACTATGACCTTGTGAAAGACAGAAACATGCTCAATCAAGTTGAAATTGGTATATTAATTGTCACCTTTAAGTGCATTAATGGTTTATTTTATTACTAGTAGGAGTTAACCTACTTCACTAAAAGGAAAGACTCCATGATTCCTTTTTTGTTACAAAAATGGCCAAAAGGATAGATAACTCACTGGTATGCTAAGAGACGCAAGCTTAGATAAATAACTTAAAATATCCGAAAGTCAACATAATATTATTAATAACAAAAATTAATTCTCACAAAGTGGAGTTTTAGGTGGTCTACCAGGAGAGGGATAACCATTTGCTCTTAGCAACGACCCTGGATCACTTGGCGAAGCTCGCAGTATTTGACGATTCTGTGTCTGAATCTGCTGAAGATTATCCGACTCTGACGTGAACATCTTCATCATTCTACCATCACCACTGAAATAGAAGACAATTATTTATAAGAAGTAAAATTCTGTTTTAAATATCATGCAATCTGGTTGACGGGAAAGTTTTCTCCTGAGGACAAAAATTTTGCTTTAGAAGATCTGGCAGTGTAAGGGCTTATCAGACCTTAAATGGCGAAGAAAAGGTTGTCATTTGGCCATTATTGGTCAAAATCCTACAAAATGAATTCTCAGATGCATTGTTTTAATATGTCACTTTAAAATACCTTGAATCCCATGAAGAGAGACCTTTGCTTGCAAGACTGAGCCAGGACAACTTCCTGTCTGCTGCCAGTTTTCATTACATGTTCTTAAATCCCTTAAAGTAACAATGTACTATTCCAATACAATAAACAAGGCAAGTCTTTTGTCTAAGTAATGACTATATATGATAGATATACCTCTCATGTTTCAAGTAAATAACCTTTGTGTTGTAATCAGATTCTGCATTAAATTGTCATGATAGACATTGCAAACAAGACATGACAATTGAGTAAATTCTTTGCAATCTAAACCAACAAATACCCTTCAACCTATGTTAACAACTGATTTGCCTGGTTATTAAAGGGACTCAACTGTTTATTTTTAGACATGATGGATCATTAATATCATTGTGTGAAAAAGTTAGATAATTTGCTCCCTTAATCAGTTTTTCCAGAAATATCATTTTCATTTTGTAAAAATACTCAAAAATTAAAAAGCATTTAGAATGCTATCACTACAAATAAGACTAAGAATGACACAGAAATAAATCTAAATTTTAACTGTGAGTATATTTCCTTTTCATGTTTATCATGTATTAAGTGACCCTGTAGATCTTTCTAAAAATTATTTTTTTAGGTTTTTAAACCTCAGTGGAGTTCGTTTAATTTATAAAGTTTTATAAACTTTTAAAGGAACATTGTTAAGACTTAATAGATTTTGAATGCTTCTAGTAATAATGACTTAACCCTCAACCTGCTGCAGGCTTAAATTTTCTGTTACCATTGGCAACGAGGGGACATCTCAAAATTGCCAAAAATCACTATTTTGCGTTTGATTTTTTCCATCAAAATTGATTTCAAATGCTGCAACTTCTCAATGGATTGAGATAAAGTCAAATGCTTTTCAGCGTGGGTTACACGTTACCTTATGATCAATCTGGGGTCATTTACAGCCTCTCACAAGTCCAAAATTTTCTTGGCGTTGAGGGGACTCCGCCCCCCATCAAACCCCCCCAAACAGAAGGGGCACACATCCCCTTCTGGCAACCCCCTGATGTATCTTTTGGTTGGGGGGCCGCGCCGAAAAAGAGGTCACTTTTTTTAACAACTTTTTCTCAAACAAAAACAAGTGTTTGGGGCCTAAATAAGGCATTTTTCATCATTTGAGACAACAAAAAGGGGGGGGGGGGGGTTGAAAAAGGCGTTAAAAGGCGTGTATAATGAAGTAATGGGTTAAGTGACCCTGTAGATCTTTCTAAAAATTATTTTTTTAGGTTTTTAAACCTCAGTGGAGTTCGTTTAATTTATAAAGTTTTATAAACTTTTAAGGGAACATTGTTAAGACTTTATAGATTTTGAATGCTTTCTAGCAATAATGACTTAACGAAAGTGATCAGCCTTTGCCACCAGTATAGAGCCAGGCCAGCCTGCACATCCGTGCAGTCTGACCAGGCTCTATACTGTTGGCAGCTCAATTTTTGTATTTTGATATTGAAATCCCTTGAACTTTGAATGGACTTGCTGGACAGATCCATTATAGAAATATAGCAGGTTCAGAGTTAATGCCTAAGACACCAGTAAAGCTCACGGACAATGCAGTTTGACGTACTGAAATCTTTTCATTTTTTTGTTTTGGACTATTACAAATTCAAAGCACTGGGCAAGTACGTGCTGGGTAAATAACATGTTAAGGAATGGTAAATAAAGAAATTTGTATCTGTATACTTAAGTAAACATATTTAAGCTATGAGTAACAACAATGTAAATCAAAATACATGTACTGTACAATGTCAAAATATTTCTGCCCATAAATATCTGTAAAAAAACAGAGTCTTTATCTTGGTTGCACCACTTACCTAATCTGTCAAGATTACATACAATAAATACTTTTTCTACAACTCTGTTATCAAACTTTAAGAGAACTGATTAAATAAAATATTTTACAAAATGTACTTCTTGGTAAGTGTACAAGCACCATGTGCTTTTATGTTCAAAGTAAATGTTCAAAATTTAGTTAACCTTTACCCTTCTGAAACCAAATAAGATGAGCCTTTGCCTCCAATATAGAGCCAGGCCAGCCTGTACATCTGTGCACTTTGACCAGGCTCTATACTGTTGGCTGACCGTCTGCTACAAATTTTCATCATGATATCCTCTTTATTTATCATGGACAGTTCTAAACATGGAAGCTGGACAAGTCCATTTATTAGGAAATTCCGTAAGTTAAGATAAATTAGTTTATACTTTCATTCATATATCAAGCTTAAAAAATCTTTGTCAAATATTTTTCTCACACACTGTGTACACTGTATCAACAGTTTATCACCAAAAGAGATGTTACTTCCTATTTCAGTTTGTATACAACATACATGTATGGCAGTATCGATTGTGTGGAACAATCTGTCTACCCTAAATTACATAACATTGTATAAAATTTTAAAACCTAGCTATCAATTATGTAAATATTATTTTGGTATTGTTTAAATAAATTTACCCTTATATAGGATATATAAGGTACTAGACAATGTTTGCATTGAACAGAAAGTGGCTGTGCTCCACCCTGACAAAGATAACAGTGGGCATAATATCTTGTGCCGATATGTCAATATTTATCTTATTTCAGCCTAAGAATGTATATAGGAACAATTTTATTTTCATGTTTTTAAAGACATATCAAGTCAGGTACATCAAAACTGCATTTACCAAATTAGCTTTTTAACTTTAGGCACTCTTCACCTAAAAAGCACTTGAAGGTGCCATATTTGAGTAACATACATGTTACAACAAGTGTCAATATTATAGATTAATCTATGAAGAAAAGGGTTATCATTTCAGCATTAAAACAGGACATATATTTATCCTAACCACACTAAATATTTTAAATGGACTCTTCCATCTTTCAATCCGGACAAAACCATTCAACATTTATAGGGGAAGTACATTGTATATATTACTGAATAGTGAACAATGCAGACCATGACCAGACTGCACCGATGTGCGGGTTGATCACCGTCTGCACCGGTCACATGTGTAGAATCTGTTGCCGTCTGCTGGCTAATGAATAAAGTACATTATAAACATAGAATTATAGAATTTATTTCATGTCTACATAAATTATAGAAAATGGAGACTTCAGCCAGAGACATAGATAACATGTTATCTATGTCTCTGCTTCAGCGTTGTGTACTTTTATTTTTGTACAGATTCTTTGCCCAAATATGGTCATGGAGCATAATTTCTCAATAAAGACATTGTACAATAACTTGCGCTTTAGAATTTTTAATATCAAATTGTGCAAATATTGCCCCTATATGGTCATAGAAAATCTGTGCAGCAGAATTAATTTATGCATAATTTCGCATCCTTTTCTGAACTGTCTTTAATAATAGCTATAAATAACTTTTCTAATCAGCAACGGATTAAACCGGACGCCTGAAAAGATCTAAGAATTCTTACAGGAATTTGTATTAAGCTATCCTCAAATTTCCATATGATTCATAATTTTCTAGAAGACCTTGAAGATATTGTGTTTAAATATGTTTAAAGTCGTATGGTGACAGGGTCAGAATAATAGTTTAGTCTTTAATCTTTAATTTCTTATGAAATTTGTGTGAAACAGATTTGTCTCCTCTGAATCTTGAGTCATCCCTTGATGGTTAACCCTTTTTGTGCTTTAAATATCTTAAATGGACTTGTCCATCTGTTAATCTGGACAAAACCATTCGTTTTTTTAGGGAAAATATGTTCAGACTGATCAGACTGCACTGGTCATGTGGGTAGAAACTGATGATTGTGACACCAGCAGTTGGTTCTTACCAACATTTCCTAAACTGTGAGGCAGTCATTTTAAATAATAAACGGCAGGGCTTATCAGACTGATGAAGAATTTCAATATAAAAGCACTAAAATTAAGTGAGTGCTTGATTAGAATCTGTTCACAATGCATGGCCATGCAAGCTGGTCTAACTTTATATCGAATGCATAGAATACTCTTTCTTTTCTACCATTGGAAGTGGTTAACTATTATACATAATCTGCTCTGGCCTTACTTCAGACACTAGGTCATTTAGAGACTTTCTCCATCAAATGATAAACTTTAACAACATTTGAAATCCTTTGATCTAAGTCTAAATGGAAAACTAGAAGAAATAATGAGAGAAAAAGAAAAATTAAACGTGAGATTCCTTTGATTTCTATAATTAAATTTATACTGATTTATATAGCAGTTTTCAATTTGAAATTTATTAAATGTTTGTGTGAATCCCCTGAATTGTATTGTATTGTTACTTTAAGGGAGATTTAAGTACATGTAACATCTGCCTTTAGACAGAAGCCTCTGAGTCTTGGTAGCTGGTTTAGAAAAAGGTTTGTGTTTATAGACCTTGCTTTCACAAGTTTAATCTTTAGCCAGCTTTTTTTTCAAAACTGTCCAAATATGGTAACACTTTTAGGGATACCAACATGAAAATTTGAAGATGGACTGCCACCAATATAGAGGTTGATCAGACTGCATGGATGTGCAGGCTGGCCTGGCTCTATACTGGTGGCAAAGGCTCATCAGATTTGGTCAATAGGTTAAAGGATTTAAATCCAATGTCACATCGAGTCATTTTCAATCATGAGAATTTAATCTACATGGTTTAAATCCTGATCAATACTGGTGCAATACCAGGAAATTATATATCTACATGGCTAGCTTAAGAGTTACTTTGTTTAAAATATATATTTCTGATAAAAATAAGAAAAGAATAATTTAGCAATGTGTCCATACGGGATGGATGCCATCACAGGTTTGTGACAGGGCGGAAAAGGGCAAAACTATATGCCCCCACATATGCACATTCAAGCAGTGCAAATATAAGAAAAGAACACATACCAATCTAGACTGACGGACCTCTGTCTGGAATTCTGCAGGGAGGAAGGATCTGACGCAAGATGGCTGTTTGGTCTCTTTGATGTCCTGAAAATATATATATAGAACATTTTTATTACATTTAGAACCTATCATCTGGTTAGAGCTAAAATATTTGATCACTTTTTTGAGTACATGTAAAAAATATAGAAAACTTTTCAAACTGAGGGCAAAGTTTTTGGCAAATGTAACATGAATGTTACAAAATATACAACATAACCTTCACATAGCTACCCTCTGTGGAGTAATTACTTCTTACAGCAGCAGTTAAAATTGTTCCCAAAGTCAGACTTTATAATGAACTAAACCTCCCTAGAGCAACACCTCTCAAAAAACAACCAAAATCTTTGTCTGCAAAAGGTTGTTTCTCTGTAGAGGTTACACTGTAGGTGCAAAAAAATATAATAAATGTCTCAATAGATAGCTTTAAATATTGCTGATAAAAAGCATTTTGCTATTAAACAAAACTACAGAATTACTTTGAAACATTAAATACGATTAATTTAAATTGTAATTTAAAGACCATGAATTTAGCTTTTTTTGTCAAAAGATGACATATCATAAACCTTTTTCATTCATGTTATGATTATAGTAATGGCTTCCTTGGATAATTTTACACATTTTTTTACTCTTGTCACACTTAATTCTTACAATTCTATGGACCAAAATACTTAAGTACAATTAATTTGTAAATGTACTTTTAATGCAACAAGTTTCAATTTTTGTTTCACACATACATCTATATAATTTTCATGATTTATTATAAAAAAAACCAAAAGAAACACCGACAACGTAAACTGACAGAAACATTTGTCTCATTAACATAATAATTATTATACCTTGGCATCGTCGAGCCTGCAGGCACTATCATTCCAACACTACCCGCAGCGCCCATTCTCAAAGATTTCCTATTTCCTTGAAATCTTTTAAACATGGGAAATTTCATAAATAAATGTTTTTAATTCCAAACTGAAATTTCTTTGCGAACTTTTCAAGCCTTAATTGCTCCTTAATGCCACTTGTAGAAAAATAGTTACATTATGTATTACACCTAAATCACTGTACTGTTTGATCACAATTTAAAATGTATTTGCGATTAAACGAACTTTTCAAATCTTTATTTGAACTACTTAGTATATTAAATCAGAAATTATTCCACGCCCAAAAAGTCTTACATTAAAACCATGCAACAACAATGAGAAAGCGTTTATAATATATTCATGAACGAAGAAGTAATTTAGATAAAAACTGCAAACTTTCGACTTTCGCAATTATTGAGAATAAATTCCCAGTTTACATGTGTCATTGTTCATTAGTGTTAAGTCATTAAGGCCGTCAATTATACATGATCAGATTTTTCACATACCTGTATCATTAATTGATTTCAAAATTCAGTACTTCAATTGCATTAAGTCTATTTATAGTGTCTCTGGAGCATACAGCTCAGAAAGGAGCGCGAGTTACTCATTCACAAAAAGATGGAACATTATAAGACACCACAATCCCTTTATCACTGACGAATCAAGTACAACATTTCGTAGAAAACAGTCATTTACGTTATTGTGAAAGAAAACAATACGACATAAAAAATAAAATTTACTCAAGTTTTACAAAAATCTATAATATCTTCACTTCCTTATCATGAAACAAAGTACTTTTTCACTTTTCTATTTATTACGTATATTAACCAATTGAACCTTAAACCAAAACCATTCATCAAAATCATTGATTCAATATACACGCGTAGGTAATATTATAATCCACATTGTCTTTATTGACTGATTAAAATAAAATCAGCATGATTCACATAGCGGTTTTAATATCCATCCCATATTGAATATACGAATATAGATATATCAAAATAACATCGACAAGTCATTTTATCGGTAGCCAGGTGTAATTTTATTGAAAAATCAGAACCTACTATCATTTAAGGATCTAAAAGGACGTGAACGGACCTGTCCGATCCACATTGTAAATTACCTTAACAAAATAATTTTGGCGATGCTATATACCATACGATCAGATATATTTGATTAGAGGATTTCTTTCCCGACCACTTCAACAGTTTATAATACCTTGCCTGATAAAACAAACTCTTCGAAACAAAATATTGTTATCCAATTATCAAGTTTTTTCAGAACTATGAATAATAAATGGCCAATAATATACAATGTGTTATGTAATCGAAGTGACTTACAATGTAAAGCGTAAATTTCATTTCATTAAAAAAATCTACGGCTATACAGTATTAACTTTGTGTTTATCTCGGGGGGCTGTCTAGATATGGGCGCTGTTGAAAAAAAAAAGTTAGATAAAGCATTAAAAATCAATGTGATCAATCTATTAAAAATTCGGAGATTATTTTGTACGTTACATACATTGATTATAACGTATTGTAAAATGAATGCATCCACATTGTAAATAGGCGAGGGACTTTATTCAGATGATTATGATTAAACGTACTTTGCATACGTTTATTCAACATTTAGAGGAGTCTCGTACACAAAGAAATTCATAACATTTTAACGTCTTTGTGTAAGTTTTACTTAAGTGTATCGTAAAGTTGACTCAACAATGTGCATCTTGATTCTACTTTGATTTGTTTAAGTCGGAGATTAAAGCTGTGAAAGTTTGACTGGTTCAACCCATTTACCGAAAATTAGTTTTGCTCTGACTTTTTAACAAGAGGGGTCATTTAGTAGCATAGATTAATTTTCAACAATACAAAAAAAAACATATTTCTCCATTTTCAAGAATTAATTACATAGATTAAAATTATTATTTCATTGTCAATCTTGATTTTGTTTCCTATTTTATTCTTAAACAAAACTAAAGGATTGAATATAAACTGTGAAATTAATTCTGTGGCATGCAGCGACCATGGTTTCTTAAACATACTAATTTGATCTTCGTGAAAACTTTTTTCATATGAATATGTCAACTTTGAATTATCACCTTTGAAGTTGGATTTATTTTTTTAAGCACACAATTACATAATTAAATTTTTCAATAATTTGATGACCTTTAAGCTTTACTGATGAACATAAAAACAATTCCCAATAATACTTACAATTTGTTTGAAGCTTAGTAAATGATGTTACTTTTTTTATACATGTACATATATACTTTATTCAATGCAAAATAAATGGCAAAATATATATAAGAACACATATTGAAAACGCGTGGCAAAACTTTTAAAGATTTATAGATAAACTTTGCCTACCTTTTTTCTTTTATTTGACAGCGGGTCAGTTCAAAGTTATTTAAGTCAGTTGTTTAACAGGTCTAAATAAATTGTAATCCTTTTACTATCAATTTACAGCCATCTTTAAAAGGCTTCACACAATAGTGTCAAAATACACAATCTCTTTAAACATTGTAATAAAACTTGAAACATTCTATGAAGTATAACACAAATTTACTTCATTTACATACCAGAGCCCTAAAGGTGCTATAGGAATTAAGTGTTGGTCAAATGTGGAAAAAAAGATCCTTATGCAAGAAGTGTAAAAAGTTGCCCTGTACTTCACTTCAGTGTTGTTATATTTTTTCACCCTTCGGGATCATTGATTCCAGAACTTTTGAAGCAAGTGTTGAAAATTCATACTGCTCAAGCTGAAGCTGGGGGTGTGTGAGGGATGTTGCACTGTTTCATTATTCCTCATGACTTGTACAGACTCAATCAAACCAAGTCTGCAACTTTCATGTTATTTTGTTGCATGTGATAGGCAAGGACACTATGGGTGAATGTAGTATTGAAAATACATTTTTTTTACTAGGCGCTTTGATGCAAATTGTTATCTGCTTGATTTTAAGCATTTATTATGTGATAAATAGAATATTATTTTTTTTAACAATATTATGCTTGCCAGAGGCTTACTTAATATGATATTATTCAACTAGTTCAATAAATTTAGTATCAAATCTACATTCATTAAATATCCTCAATGTATATTTTATAGTTTTAATTCTTACGATTAATTACAATTAATATCCAATAATCATTGTTTATAATTGCAGCTAAAAGACAATAATACCTTGTAATATAAGAATATATCCTTATTCCATCATTGTGAACAAAAGAAAAAAAAAAACGTCCAACTTGCGCGAAAATTAAAGTTTGACTCAAGATCGTAAAGAATTTTAATCCAATTAATGCGTAAAATAAGATGAATATTTTGTATTGTTAAAACATGGGAATTTAATACTATTATGTATAAACCTAAATACATAAGTAATTATATGTAAACAAACCTCAAATTTGTACAATACACCCGGTTTAATCGGCCGCATGAATTGTAAAAAATTTCGCCTTTTCTCGACCGAGAGCAGGTTACGGTAAACCTAGCTGTTTATTTTTAACTTTCTGTTTGATTTCACTTTACTTAATAAACAAAACGTATTTTTAAATAAATTGAAGTAATAAGATTGTCTCCTGTTTGCACTATTTGTTGATACAGACTAAACATAAAGTTTTGTGGAAATCTTTAAAGAAAATTTAGTTCTTTTATTGAGGGACTGATCCTTATTACTTTCCTTTTCAATAAAAAAGTATTTCACACAGTCCTTAGAAAGAATATTAGCTGTTAAAAATCAATTTCACTTAAGTTTTCACTCATGTAAATTACCTGTATAAATGCTTTACAAGTGGTTAGAGCTTTTTTTGGCCACACTGACCCTATTAAGTTCTTAATGTGATTTTCATGCTTAACTCAGGTTAAGGAAGATGTAAGAACCCCTATGTGCATCTATTTCAGGTACAAGAAAAACCATGGAACTCAGACCTTTCAAAAAGTCAATGCAGTCGAGACTGCCTTAGGTAGCCCATTGAATTCAACGATAGTGACTCCACTGAATTCAAGGACTCTCTGACTCTTCCTACCTTGTTTCAATCTGCCCAACATATTTCTCTATATGAATGGACAAAATTAAACAACTCCTTGTCACATGGTATATCCGAAAGTATCAATTTTAATACTTTCTTTGACATTTCATTTAGAGATTCCCAGACATATGTGACCTTATTCTTTTGGTACTTTGGAAAGTCATATATCGCTGCTTAGACTGTATTTGAATGAAACAAATATTTTCATATCTAAATAGCACTATATAGCACTATATTGAAACATGTTTATTTACAACTACATGTAGCACATAACACCATGACATTTCTATTTAAGCATCTTGTAAAAGCATCCTGCAAAACAAACTGTTCAATAGGTGCTGTGCACAAAATTAAAATTTGTTTTGTTGTTTTTTTCTCTCGCTTGCACAGGTGTGGGAGTGGCTCACTAATGAATTACAGTTATCATAATAATAATATTACTAGGATTAACGTTGTGTGTAAATAAAAACAAATTTATCACAGTGACATCTTGCAGAAACCTATCTACAATAAATAAATAGTCACCTAAGTGCAGTAACATGTTACCTCCTATTATATTATATAAGGAGTTAACACGATACTGCACTAAGGTGATGTTATATCCTTTTTTTCAAATTATCACCACTGTTTGAACCATTTTTTTTCTCAACATTATCTTACATAAATGCCAAACCTATGTTTACACTTAAGTTGTTTTTGTTTTTTCCACATATTTATTGTACCAGTTCAACTATATATGCAAAGAGTATGGAGATATTTTCAGAACAAACTAAAATAGTCATTTATATCCATTGTCACTTATTTTAATGATTATTATAAATTCAGTAAAATAAACATCTTACCTTGAGTGTCTGAAAAACATATTTGATACTTTCCCCGATATTTTTGGTTATCCGTTAAATTATAAATTCATATATTCAAAAATCGAGAAAAAAAATCAATCTATAATTCACGCTTGTAATTAATGCGTTATTAATTTTTAACTTTAACATCATCCTTTAGGGTCTATTTTGGATATAAAATGTCTTAACAAAGAGATATTATTTCACAACAATACACAATAAAAGGTCGAGGAACCGAGGTTCGGTTATTTGTATAGATAGGTATGAATCAAAGCATTATCAACTTTATATAAACATTTTAAACAGAGTTAAGATCAATTAAACCACTCAAGATTTGATTTTGACGAGCCAAGACGTAATGTCGACATTTCATGTGTACATTGTTTGGTCCCTTGTGAAGTTAAAATATTGTATCTGTAACGGTTGTAAAATTATTTATTTAGAAATATTTCCAATATTTGGTTATATGTACAAGAATTTTCAAGCCATTGATACCTGTACAAAAATCTCCTTGTCCCTGATATTTGTACAATAATCTCCCAGCCATTGATACCTGTAGCCAATAATACCTGTACAAGAATCTCCTAGCAATTGATATTTGTACAAGAATCTTCTAGCCATTCCAGGTACCTGTACAAGAATCTCCAAGCCATTTTTACTTTACAATTATCGCCTAGCCATTGATACCTGTACAAAAATCTCCTAGCCACTGATACTTGTACAAGAATCTCCAAGCCATTTTTACTTTACAATTATCGCCTAGCCATTGATACCTGTACAACAATCTCCTAGCCACTGTTACTTGTACAAGAATCTCCTAGCCATTGATACTTGTACAATAATCTCCAAGCCATTGATATGTGTACATTAATCTCCTAGCCATTATTACCTGTACAACAATCTCCTAGCCACTGATACATGTACAATAATCTCCTAGCCATTGATACTTGTACAACACTCTTTGCCATTGATACTTGTACAAGAATCTTCTAGCCATTGATACATGTATGAGAATCTTCTAGCCATTGATACATTTACTACAAAAATCACCTAGCTATTGATACCTGTATAAGAATCTCCTAGCCATTTATATGTGTACAAGACTCACCTAGCAATTGATACCTGTATAAAAATCTCCTTGCCATTGATACTTGTACAAGAATCACTTAGCCATGATACCTGTACAAGAATCTCCTAGCCATTTATACTTGTAGAAGATCTCCTAGCCATTGATACTTGTACAAGAATCTCCTAGCCATTGATACCTATACAAGATCATCCAAGCCATTGATTTCTGTACAAGAATTACCTAGCCATTGATACCTGTACAAGAATCTCCAAGCCATTGATACCTGTACAAGAATCTCCAAGCCATTGATACCTGTATAAAAATCTCCTTGCCATTGATACTTGTACAAGAATCACCTAGCCATGATACCTGTACAAGAATCTCCTAGCCATTTATACTTGTAGAAGAATCTCCTAGCCATTGATACTTGTACAAGAATCTCCTAGCCATTGATACCTATACAAGATCATCCAAGCCATTGATTTCTGTACAAGAATTACCTAGCCATTGATACCTGTACAAGAATCTCCAAGCCATTGATACCTGTACAACAATCTCCTAGCCATTGATACTTGTACAGAATCTTCTAGCCATTGATACTTGTAGAAGAATCTCCTAGCCATTGATACTTGTACAAGAATCTCCAAGCCATTGATACTGTACAAGAATCATCTAGCCATTGATACCTGTATGAAAATCTCCTATACAAGAATCTCCTAGCCATTGATACTGTATGAGAATCTCCTAGCCACTGATGCTTGTACAAATATCTCCTAGCCATTGATACACGTACAAGAATCTCCTAGCCAATGATACTGTAAAAGATTCTCCATACCATTGATACTTGTACAACACACTCCTAGCCATTGATACTATTGATAGACATTGGAAATAACTTCAACAAACCCAACAAAATTGTTATTTGATAAACCTAAACACCATCCAAGAACACATAAAAATTGAGCTTTTCTAAACAAGTACTCACTTTTTGTCCTCTGTATTCCTTGTCATGTTCTGAAATGAGAAACAGAGACATTTTTTAATCATCAAGTTAAATATAGTAACCTGCTTCAATAGATGTTTTTTTAGCACATGCCTAAAACCTTGTTTCATGCAAAAAAAAATATTTTTCTTGTTATCCCCTTTACATACTACTTGTAAGACAAACTTAAAAGACAGACATGTGTATACTTTAAATAGAAATAGCTTCTGATGTACAAAAATTTACATGCAAAATGTCTGTGATCTGAAAGGGAGGTAACTCCTATGGCTATATAAAATATGAATACAGTTATGTCCCTTGGTCACCCTTATCATAAAGAGGACTTCAAATGATTGTCTAAATGAAATTCTTTAGACCCTTGGCCACACTAAATGCCTGAAATGATCTTGTTCATCTTATGATCTTAACAAAATCATTTCCAGGGAAAGTTTCAAAATCTACTGACTAAAGCACAGGCTTGAACAGGCCAAGAGTCAAAAAGATGAAACATCAAATTTCCCACTAAAATTATTTAAAACAAACCAATAAACCAAACTTTGTAATGATAATTCTTTATTTTGCAATGTTTATTTTTTTTGTTATGATGACAAATAATTCTTTTACTCTATAATTTCAGGATTTTTTCAGTTCTGACCTTATATAATTCATGAATCTATGCTGTTTCATATGAACATGTGGTTGGAAAATAGTAATAAATACAGCCTTTGAAATTCACATTATTTATAAATCTTTTCCCCAATTCTTATTTTCAATTTTGTGTGGTGTGCAATTTATATGTAAATAATGAGGGCATTATACTTTTTGTATGTTATGTAAATTTTAAATTAAGTAACACTATTTGAGCCGCGTCACGACAAAACCAACATAATGGGTTTGTGACCAGCATGGATCCAGACCAGCCTGCGCATCCCCGCAGTCTGATCAGGATCCATGCTGTTCGCTATCAGTTTCTCTACTTGTTATAGGGTTTGTAAGCGAACAGCATGGATCCTGATCAGACTGCCCGGATGCGCTGGCTGTTCTGGATCCATGCTGGTCGCAAACCCATTATGTTGGTTTTGTCGTGATGCGGCTCTCTTGTCAATAACACAACAAGGAACAAAATCTTAACATAAAATTGTTTTGTCAGAAATGCAAATTTTACAACATAAACAACAAATAAAAATTAAATATACTATACTTGAAGAAAATGACATATTAGAATATGAACACAGTCTCTATAAATTACTTTAATATTGATGAATCCAGGTAAACAATAACTACTATTAATACTATTCTTACAAAAGAAATACATTTTCTTTGTTTTTTACATTACCACCAATATAATATACTTTCTTTTTCCAGATACAAATCAACCTTCCTACCTAGAATGAAAATCCATTGTTTCTCCTTTTGTTATATAAATATTTATCACTTTTGTTTTCATTCTATACTAATAAGTCATTCCGGTTCAATAATAAAAAAAAAATCTCGGTGCAAAATCACAGTTTAATATCATTCCATCCTAAAAATCACCCATTGATCACGGTATTGTATAAATATTTTGTTACAACTTTAAATGTTGCAGTCTCATTTTAATAAAAATCTGTTCATCGGAGCGCGTCATATCAAGCCAAAACGCCCGTTTATGGAGTATATCAGTTATTTACGGTAATTGTTTTATTAGCGTATTAATGTCACTCCGATCATACCTGCTCATGGCTTTATGAATCAATGTACGTTACTTCACGTATTTCACTTACGTGGTGGTCAGTTTTTTTTTTACTTTTGGTCATTCTGCTGGTGTTGATTTGTCCACAATAAATGTACATGACTCACTGTTTATATATACTAAACATATAATTATATACTGTTTAGTCAGATTACCGATATATTATAGACATATAACAATATTAGCTGCAAAACAAAATTACCTTTTCATGTTTTGTACAAGTAATTTCATAATTTAATTATTACTGTACTAAATTTGTACAATGGACCTGTCAGGGTTTGAATTTGGAACAGTCTACTAGTAGTATAAGGGGTTTCAGAATCCCAAACATCTGATCAGTATCAAAATTTGGTCAGACTAAACAATTTAACTCTGCTCTAACTAAACTATTGCTGATATTAAGTACCGACATTTTCTTTAAGCATTCTATTTCAAAACCTATCTTTAACTAAACGTTTTTGATACACACTGTTTCATTGCTAGCATCAAGGGGAACAACTCTTAAATGACTATCCAAACAATCCAGTTAGCTTTAACCTGCCCAATTAAAACCTAGGGCGATTATATTGATTTTAGGCAACATCTAAAAGTAGAAAATTCCTATCTTTATTGATAGATAACAATCTTTGTATTGAATACCTTCACATTTAATAACAGTGGTATAATTTTTCAACATATAGATATTGGGTTTTTACATTGAATGAATCACGACGCGCAAGAAAAAAAGTCAATCAGCAATATTGAAAACACTTATGGTTTATATTATATCAATTGTATAAAGTGAAACTTCTAGTGTCAATAAAATGTCTAGATATGAATAGAGCAAACTGAAATATAAAAAAATCTCCTTAATTTGATTTCTTGAAGAAGAGAGCACTTCTGTGAAGTAGCTGTTATTTTCCTCTTCAAAATGATTTGTAGACAAAAATTAATCTCACAACACTTTCTATTAAATATTTATTTTATGGCTTCTCATTACATGTGAAAGTCCTTTCTTTCTGTTTTGATACTAAGAAAAAGACAATTGCTTGAGTTGAGAGCTAGAGAATGCAAGATTGCAAGATGTTATATTATTTTTTTTAACATTTATTATTACAGATATATATTTATATATCATATACATATTTATATATCATAAAATATATACCTTACAGTTGCTAATTAAGTCAGGAAGCCAGACTCATTGAATAACTGATTTATGTGAAACTATATAACATTTAACTGATACCATACAATATTTAAGTGATACCATACAATATTTTAGTAAAACTAATCATACATCCATATTGTGGCACGATAACATCATGCATTAACCTTTTATCTGCTAAATTAGGGTTAGCAGTCCCCTTATAGTTTCAATGGATTAGGCAAAACTGAGCTATCATCAGACTATAGAGGTTGATCGGTCAGACTGCATGGAAGTGCAGACTGGGCAAGCTCAAAACTGGTAGCAGTTAGGCTATCATTTTTAAGATCAACCAGTTTAAGGGTTGAATTAAACTGTCATGGTCTACAACTGTTCACATTTCAAGGGAGAGAATGTGTTACCAGCTGGATATAGAGCCATTGTACTGTATTTTAATGGTCCCAGGACCTGGTTTGAGTTCCCGTCAGATTGTACATTTTTCTCACTCAGTCACATTAGGCACCAAACAGAGGAACGTGACTGTTATAGTTCCAGTCAATTCAATGACAAACTATACCATTTTAATACGATACTATACCATATTTTTGTGATACTATACCACATTTAAGTGAAACTATACCACATTTATGTGATACTATACCACATTTAAGTGAAACTATACCACATTTATGCGATACTTTACCACATTGGCAATTTACATTTAGAAATTCAATGACAAATTTGAATAGAAGGGGAGGTGTGTATGTCACAGTCTAGAACTGTAACTAAAAAATTATGTAATTTTAGCATGACCCTCAAAATGGTGAGCAGAATGACCCTAAAAATGATGAGCATTAGGGAGGTCATGCATGTTATGTAAACAGAATAATTCACATAAGAACACACTGTAACTGCCATTGCACAAAAAAACAAGCAATATCAAGTCGCTCAGCATTATAAAGAGAAACTGCTGAAATTGCAGTTTGTATGTCAAAGCTAAACATTTAGTAGAATCTCTTTACAAAGGAATGTTTATCAGCTAGACAGCATATGGTGGTACAAATTGAAGATGAAAATGCTTGGCTACCCTGAAGAATCACAAGATTAGATTCAAGAATCAGTCAATCAAATAGCAGACATTAATTAACTGTTCAATTAAACAACCAATGGAACAATTCCATCAGACGTATTGGAACAACTCCTGCCTGTAAAACAATGCCTTTGTTCAGAGAGTATTCATTTACATTTCAATACAATTTAATTACTAGACTAGACACTCTAAATATTCTAGTATGCCATAATTTTTCGATGAATTTCAAAGGAAATATTTTCCCTTGTAGACACATTAACCCAATGCCCTCATACTTCAACCTTTGATTACTGCAACTAATGAATTATTTGTTCTGGGTGGTTAATTACTCTGAAATATGCTTTGCAGGTTAATGTCACTAATTAACACTTAACTAAAGAATCTATTCCCATTGATTGGAAAGGTGAAACAAGTCTGGATATAGCAAAGGTGGAACCAGTCTGGTAACCAGTCTGGTTACAAGAAAGGGGTAACTAGTCTGGTTATAGGAAAGGTGAAACAAGTCTGGTTATAGGAAAAGTGAAACCAGTATGGTTATAGGACAGGTGTAACCAGTCTGATTATAAAAAGAGGGAACCAGCCTGGTTATAGGTAAGGGAGAACCAGTCTGGTTATAGTAAAAGTGAAACCAGTCTGGTTATAGGAAAGTGTAGCAAGTTTGGTTATAAGAAAGTTTTAATTATTATAGGAAAGGTGAAACCAGACTAGTTATATAGAAAGGCGAAACTTGAATCTGGTTGTGAGAAAGATTACAAGGCAGTCATCCCCTTCCGCAGCGGACATGAATGTGAACTTCATGACCTTTAACCAATCATGACCTTGATGTTGTGCCATACATATCAAAAGCACATAGTCTCATAATGGTGATTATTTGTGCAAAGTTATTTAAAATCTTCCTTTAAGTCAAAAAGTTATGGAGAAAATATAACCTTGACCTTGGATGTAACTACGGAGTAGCTACTTGGATGTTGTGCTTTGCAGATTGTGTCATGGTGGGGATCATTTGTGCATAGTAATTTTAAAACCTTTGAATTGTCAATAAGTTTTTTATATATAATAGAATAGACATGAAAAATAGATGTTT